CCTATATTCAGCATTCAACAGGAAAATAATAGACAAGCTGTCTAATCTGTAGGATCTCAGAGAAAAAAAATGTTTTCACTTTTCAGTATTGAGGAACTTAAATATTAGATAAAAGGAACTCATGTCACCAGACAAAGATTTCTTTGTTACTTTTCAGAATCCATGATCTTGAAGACTATTGAATAGTAAAAGAACTTCTGTCTTCAGATAAAGATTTCTTTGTCACCTCAAGTAAAAGCCATTTTACCTGGTCTGTACGACAACTCAACACATTCAAGAAGTAAGTCCACAATGCCCATCGTGTAGGCAGAATCCCCACAATCAGGATCAAAATCCTTTACAGCCATCAGAAGTACTTTTATCTGGCACAAAGAGAGAAAATGTTTCAGCAGCAGCGCAGGCAGGAAACTGTCAGCAAATTTAGGCACAACGAGATGACATCAATCAGGAAACCTGTGTGTGAGAGAGAGAGAGAGAGGGATGGAACAAATAAAACAGGACGCAAGTGCCAAATTTTTTCCTTCAATACCAGCAAAGAACTAGAAGCCAGACTATCAACGAAATTTAAAGATGTGCAATCTTTTGGGTGCACGGTCACAAGAAGGAAGCATCAACCTTAAATAGTGAAGAATAAGCATAGCTAATAGCATTATCAAAAAAAAAAAAAAAGCATAGCTAATAGCTTCTCAGTAGGAGGCCACCAAAAATTCGTTTTATTTCTTTAACTTGAAATAGTTCTTTTTATTTAGGCAGGGCAACATAACCACTCAAAATATAGGAAAGAAAAACAAGCCACAGTTTGAATTCCTTCAGCGGTGACTTCTTCAGAGACAATTAAAAGAGGCCTCTGCTGCACTTTATTGAATCTCCATCCGCCAATACGAAAATGAGTTACTTCTATTAAAATTCTAAAGGCTCTTTATTCAATCATCAGTACCATCAAATTTAGTTTGAAAATTAATTACGATAAAACAATAAAGAAATGAACCAGTAACTGAAGAATTGTCGATTCAACTAAACATAATTCAATAAGAAAATGGAATTGAAGGGTTGAAACCCCCCCCCCCAAAAAAAGGCAAGATTAGGACATGATCATAAATATATATATAATAAAAAATAATAAAAATATGAAAGTCTTTTGACAACTCTCACCATACTCAGCACAGCAAAATGAAGTTGCAGCTTTTCAGCATTAAACTCATAAGGAATAGCATGATTCGCCATTGATCCAATAAATATCAACGAAAAAAATTCAACAAACAAGCATTCAAAAATCCAATTCCATCAAAATGCCCACCTGCAGCCTCATTCATAATCAATTGGACTTAAGATATAGGGTGAGGTTCTTGAAAGCAAACAACATACGGAAAAAACAGCCCAGAAGTGCCTTTCCTATTCATGAAACACATACAACATCAACAATTCAAATTAAGCTAAAGAGCATACCAGATGATGCTTCCTTATATACTTGGCAGTGCTGCCATTATCATTAACCAGTAGAAGGCCAAGTATCTGAAAGATGAATCATTATCAAACAAAAAGTCCAAGTGTCAATGATGATAACTTGCAAAAATGCTCACAAAAAATTCATCCAATCCCACAAATGTACACCAAGAAATGATTAGTTGATTACCTGCATTGCATGTCTGTGAAGCTGTATGTTATGCAAGGGAACTAGACCTTCCTTATATTGGGAGAAAACAACTAAAGAACCATTGGCAACCATTTGAAAGAGTAATTGAAGTGAATTGTCCTCTATTAAACTTTGTGCAGCTGAAGGATGGCTGGCCAAAGCTTTCATAACATGGACAACACTTGCTTCAACCTGCATTTTTAGAAACAGCTATAAGCAATTTCAATTTTTTTTGCTATGGCAAAGCATTCTTTTACCGCCTCAGAAGAAAAAGTTGCACTCTGTTCATAAAACTAGAAAACCAGGATTGTATAGAGATGCAGAAAATTCAATTAGCTTAGATCAACAGGACCATCAAATATAGGAAGAAGCTACCTCGAGCCGGCGGGCATATCCATTGTCATCATTTTGGATTCCTTCAGTTAATAATGGCTCCTGATGATCAAGAATCTTTTGCCTCTGGTTGCCTCCATCCGGACCCAGAAGAGCATTGAGAACATGGATGAGACAACATAAGATCCCAGAATCCAGGAGTGATTGTTTATCAATAGGCTGTATACATGGACAAAATTTGTGCGTTAAGTATTAAGAAATGCCCATGCAACTATCTGTCCACCATTTGGAAAGTAACACTAGTTACGTATCCCACTTGCTGCACAAAGATGTTAAGCAAAGCCATGGAAGAAATGATTACTTATTGTCTAATGCATTATATAGTGTATCGAGAGACCCATGTAACAACTAAAAAATGCAATTTATGGTTAATTCCTTTTCCTGAAAAGATTAATCCATACTCCTATACAAATGAGGGGAGAGGAAAAAATAATTTGGCTGCTTCAAGATGGAGGCAAAAAACAGTAAAAATGCAAGAGAAACGGAATGCATTCAATTGAACTGAGTAATCCTGAAACTGATAAGGCCAGAGACATACCCCAGATACAAGGACTTCCACAGCATGCAATAAATTTGCACCAGGACGCACACCATCCTAAATACATTTGAGTAGGTTTTATCACAATGTTAAAGAATGTCATCTAGACAAAAAATCATACAGAGAGAAGATCATATATGAACCTTTGTGACTTCTGCAAAAAAGTTTAGAACTCTACGAACTTCCAAAGATCTGGTTTTGCTGCTAAGTTTCAACTTTTCAATATCTGTTACAAATGCTCTTCCCACAACAAACGAAAATATGTGTGTCTCTACCAGCCTGTAAAAAAATAGTTTAGAAGTTGCCATACAAGTAAACACGCATTAAAAAAACTGATAACTGGAAACAGAATTAAAAGAACCCATTATGGGATGACAATGAGCATGACTACAGAATATCCCTAGGACAAAAGGCAACAAAGTCAAACTTGGATCATGACTACAGAATATCCCTAGGACTTCTTGATGATAATTTATTTCTTACAATGTTAAAGAAATTTGAAGAGCACTACATAAAAACCAAAGAACTACTAATTGCCTTATGAGATTCATCTAAATAATACAATCATCCAAAAACCTCTCAAAATGGCATGATAAACTCTGAAAAGAAAGCTGCCAGGATATAGTAACGTCATTGAAAAGTATAAGAAGAACGCGCATATCAAATGGACAAGGAGAAGAAGGAAACCAATTATCATACATCGTAATTAGTTGAGCAACATTTCCGTGCTGCTTTACTAATCTACAGAAAACATCAATAGTTAAATTCAAGGCCTTTTCCTTCTCCTGCAATGGTAGAGAAAAGCCATTAGCCCTTGCGATATTTCTAAGTATGCAACCATAAGTATGCAACCATAAAGACAACAATTTTGCAAAATAAATGCAGAAACCTTCTCAGAAATTGAAGACCGGAACTCTTCCCAATATCTCTTAAAATCCAATTCCAGTTCATATTTGTCCCTGCTTTCAAGAAAAAGGATTTGTTGAAAAGAACTAAAGAATAGATACCAAGTAAGTCTATATAGAATTTGAAGATGATATGCACTTTTTATTCTGTATCTGTAAGAGTAATCAGATTGAAAAGATATACTGAAAAAAATGAAAAACCACAAAAACGAACACAAACAAAGTTAATAGACAATCAGCATAAACTTAAAGAAACTGAAGCTACTGCTCCACAAGCCCTAACAAAGTTAATAGACAATCAGCACTGTTATCAGAGAAAAAAAAAATGATGAACCACCAAATCAAAATTGCGTGAAAAATGAGAAAATAAACGGAGGAAGATATGATCATCTTTTTAATAATTTCTCATGCATGAAATACCAAGAAGGCTTTACTTAGGCTTGGAAGAAAGCTAGACTTTTAAATAGAAGATAGATAAACAATTGAATAATTATACCAAAGGAAATTTGAACCCAAAAACCAAGCACAATGTACAAAGATAGAAAATTACATTACTAAATCGATGGAATATGCACAATCAAGCCGTAAAACGAAGCACTTTCCAAAATTAGACTTACAGGAAACATTAACATATCTGGTATTTTTCCACATACAAGCAAAACAAGTTCTCATCCCATTGACATAATTTGCAAAATTAAATGCAAAATCCAAGAAGAATGCAAGAAAAAAGAAAATTAGGCGAGTAAATTAATGGAACATACACAATCACCCATAAAACCAAGAACCACTTCCAGAAATAGACTTACAGGCTAGATTAACCAAATAAAGTCTGATGCCCTTTAATCCCATGAGAACCAGTGACATGATGCACTAAAATACAATGACAAGTCGAGCTAGAATAAATCATCTCCCCCCTGATTGCCTCATTGTCTCAGTTCCAATAATCATCTAAAGGTTACCTATGCAACGATCGCACGGATGTAATAGCCCATCTGGACCAAAATACTAGGCCAGAAAGCTTAAAAAAAGTTGTTGGTAAAACCACCTTAGGTTCTCTAGGCACCCACACATTTTCATATCATATGAGGGTTTCAGGCTTAAGAGACCAAAAAAGAGCAGAATCAACTAATAAACAAATCTTTCTTCACTTTCATTCCTGCATCTTCAAACTCTAGCTGAAAACATTTCATAAAGAAAATAAAAATAGAAGTCCCAGGTTTGCCCTGCTTCAAATACTAGATTAATATTAATATGCTATCGCAGTAAAGAAAATGAGTTTAGTTAGAACCCAACCCACTGCTTGTGATCACAAAAGAAATAGCATTTTCCCACTTAAAAGTACCAAGCAATTTTCATCTTTATCACATCTTTCAGCTCCACAGATCCTCCTTTCCTGATTACATTCGCAATCTAGTGTTTGTAAGTTCAGTTACTACTCAGTCCATTACACATCAACTGTTAACCTCATCTCAGAATCTACAAGGAAGCAACCTGCTTTTCGAGCAAAACAGATCACTAAAAAACCTTTGGGGCAGAGGTCCTTACTCGAAAGTTTGAGGAGATGGATCAGCTGATTGGTGAAGAAGATCGGTATGGTTGGATAGTTGTTATTTATATTGGTTATTGAGTTCTTATCTTCTTTTGAAGTAAGATATTTACTGACTTTTTCCCCTATCCTTCAATACGTGACTCTTACAGAAGCCAGTTTTACCAGATTTTCTATGGTGTTTTCGACAACCAGATTGCTGCAATGGATGCACTTTTGAATGGAAAAGAGTCATTTGCACGTCAGGTATGAGAAGTCCTGTACTTGAAGTTTGGGTAGCTTCAGTAGCTTTGAATCATTGACCTGATATGCTAAAAATTAGAATCTTAATTTGAACTTTAACTACTTGCTCCTGCACAAGCTTAAAGTGATTCCTCCTCTTTTCTTATTTTATTTATTAGTGGTTTATATGGAGGCAGGGGGTTTGGCAGTTAAAAGTATGTCATTACATGTGAAGATTTGAGACATTGGTTCTCTGATTATATTAACCAGTATAGACGATATATTTTGGAGATTGTCATTGTATTTCACTATACTTCAGAGTTGCTTGAGGGAGATATAATACGATTGTGTATGCCAATAATGTTTTTCTCAATGCTTTTGCAGCTGACTGGCAGATCCATTGCATTAAGCTGCAGTTTCTAGTGTCTAAGATTCTTTTGAATCATTTGAATCTTTATGACCTCGGTGTTGCTCTAGTATTGACATCATAATTTGCTGTGAACAATAAAAAAATACATTCATATTGAAAGTCCTTTTAACAATATGAAGTTAAAATACATTCATCATGTTGAAAGTCCTTTTAATCTGAACATAGGAAAATGGAGAGTGGAATCCTTGTTCTAAGACAAGATTGAATTTCCTTATGTACTGCTCCATTTATAAAGTTTACTTTTCCGGAAAGGATCTTTTGTAGTTAAGCTAGTGGTAGAAATACTTGGCTGTTGATGCATCCTGAGTTGAAATGCTAAGAGAGCTAGCATTTCATCTCTCGTCAATGTGTTATTACTAGAGGAAAAACGTGGTGGTATGAGATCGCTGATTTTATCACATCAAGGTGCCTTATGCACTCCATTTGTACACTTGTTGCTGCCTTCACTTCGTTTCCGCTTTTGAGCCACAAACTTTGACCATTCTACTTCTTTTGTTAATTTTGGTTTTTATGTATGTTAGCTTATTAGAGAAGTCTTTACTGGCATTATTTTGACCATGACATTTATTTTTCTTTTAGTTACTTGCATATAACATTTCAAGAATGTGAGCACACATTTCTGGTATGATTGTTCTTTATGTGCATTTGTCTCTGAAGATGTTGGTCAATAATGCACAATCATATACTTTTGTTTCGAAAAGAATTAGAAATGACTGTGTGCTACTTCATGATTATAGTGCTAGCCTTTATTTTTAATTGTCTGTTGCCTCAGGCATTCAAGAATGTGCTGGACCAGTATTTGGGAGTACATTTTGATGGTTCAAAACCTTTGGTTAAATGAGACGTTGACTGGTACTTGGCTTTTCTAAGGACTACTGGTCCCTAACTTATTCAAATTCACTTCTGAGGTGACTCTTTTTTTATTGGTTTGCGCTTGTGCATGTCTTAGACAGGAAAAAGAAATATGCCTTGTACAATACCTGATCCTGTTGTTGGTAATTACTGATGTATCCTAGGGACTTCTACTGCAATTTGTTTTGTCAGATACATTTACAGGAAGTGCCTTTCTTCTGCTTTTTATTATTTATTTTTTGGCTTTATTTGGCAAGGATCCTGATTGTGGAGTAACTGATCCTTGATCCTCAATAGTTAAGTGAAACGAAGATAATCAAGTATCTGTATTTCTATCTGGACCATTATTTCGTCTGATCCCCTTTGTTAATGCCAAATTTGTTTTGTCCAATGTCCATGGAGATATTCTACTTCCAAGCTTTACATGTGTTAGTGAACCAGCAATAAGAGGTGTGCATGAATCATCTAAAATGTAAAGCTGACATTTTTATGCTTAAACTTTCATGGATATATGAAAATAAAGGGTGTTTAAGCTACTAATTTCTATCTGATTTCCTTCTCTCTGTGGATTGTGGAGTGGTGAAAATGACACTATTAGATAGTTGTGAATGCAGATTATGGGGTAAATTAACATGAGGTGTTATCTTGCAAGATGCTTTAAAGTTCCATTACTTTGATTACCAAAATTTGGTACTTGCATAAAGATAGGAATATCTCACCAAGCAACACCGGGCCCCCTAGGGAACATTTTAATATTTTGGCTTTCGTGGTGATTGAGAAACTGGATGAAAAGTTGACTAAGGTGGGACTTCAAGCTGCCATCTGCTTTCAGTTTCACTTCCCAGCGGAATCATCTTTATTCAGAATAGGATGAAAAGTTTATAATTTTAATTCTACCACATAATTTTGAGACTTATGCTGGATTTTAGTTGAAGTGAAACATGTCTTTTTTGCGTAGTTAAGGTTAGGGATTACGGGGAAGTGTCATTTACATTACAGCGGTTTTTGAGCTCAAGGCTAAAGAGAAAAAGCATGAAAAAGTGGTCTGGATTCATTGTTGATTCTGGATGGAAGAAGAAGTAGGGGAAAAGGTAAGGCTAGTGGAGATGAGATTCCCTGATCAAAGATAGCACAAGTCTTTTAGAGAGGAAGGGGAGCAGGGAATAGAAGAGAAGCTTGCTTTTTGTTTGTCTGGTTGTGCAGTCAAAGCTAGATAAAAAAGCACCGGTCTTTCTAGTAGGCAAATGGTGTGCTGTATTGTACCTTAAGCCTGCTGCATAAATTTACCTTCTAAAAGCTAGGATATACCATACGTTTTCTTGGCTGCTGCATTCATTAATTCATGTGCTTATTCTCTTTTCCCCTTCTATCTTCGATGCTGAATGTGCTTGAAAATCACAGATTGGACAATTTTTGGAATGGATGATTATACATGATCGTACTCATCTCTCTATGGTCAAATAATAATATTAATATTCCTTAACCCCTGCTGCCTCTAAAAAGTAACAGAAGCAGGATAAACTTATCTAAATTCCTTGTGTACTGAATTAGGCAAGCGTCAATTAAACCTCCTCGGAATCTCTGCATCCAGCCTTAGGCTAAGGGAAACTCTATACAACTTTTGCTGTTCGAATCTGTTTTCCGGTCCGTGAAATCGTGCTCACTTTTCCTGCTTCGCTCAAGACTACTTGGTTTTTTTTTTTTTTTTCAACAAACGATAATATCTCTCAAGACTTGGTTGGAATACTAAAAAAGTGGACATACGATATAGTAAAACAAAAAAGAGTGGAAATAGCATAGAAGATCCATAGCGATCTCATATTGTATTCTTTAAACTAGAATTTCGTGCTCACGGCTTTATTCCTTGTTTTCACCTTTGTTCTTTTTGCTCGTAAAGCAAATAAGATATTATTATTTAGGGGGTCAAGAAACTGAGTCCAGACTTGGGCGTAAGGTCTTGTAATTCTTGCATAGGCGAAAATTAAAAACAGAGAAGGAATACGTAGCATGTGATGCTGGGATCGTTTTCAAAGGTTAGCTGCCTTGCCATCAAGCAAGCTAAAGGCTGTTGCATGGGGACGTGCACGGAATTTAAGAAAGACTTGTCCTGTAAAAGAAACAATTCTAATTCCAAACCTTTCGATGCTGCAATGGGAGTCTCTCTTTCACGGGCGTTGACATTTTTCATCCTCTTTATTATTTTGCTCATCTTTCTTTTCTTCTTCTTCTTTTTTTTTTTTTTTTTTTTGATCTTTAATTTTTCCCCTTCTTTTTCTCTTTTTTCTTTTTGGTTTGTACCACCACTTACAAACCACGCAATAGCAATGCATGTCCCCGGGCCCGGACCACCACTAAAAATTGCACACACACACACACACACACACACACACACACACACGCAGAATCAACTTAGTCACCTTTAATTTCTACTCACACTTGCAACTGGTTTTTGCAGCTTCTCTGCTCCTCTATCCTTCTTTAGAAAAGGGCTACCATCGACGATGCAATAAAAGGGCATTGTTGAGCTGTTAAATACATCAAACCTTTCCATTTTACGAATGTGGTACCTTGCAATAAAAAGGAGAGAGATAAGGAAAAGAATTTCTTGGGATTGATATTTTAGATATAGAAGTGAGTGCCGTAGAAAATCCATTTCACCCCATCTTCTTAATGCTACTCTTAATTTCGAATTTTACCAGTCTTCCTACTAGTAATTGTGCGTTTTTCTTTTCTGATAGAACGACCTATCTTATCTTATTTAACCCCGGCATAGACAGCGATAACAATGATGCCACCAATTCTATATTTCTTTTTTGCTAATTAGATTTCTCATCACCACATCCCTTCCACATTTTCTCAAGCATATATACTAGTAGTTCCTATATGAATATTTTCAGTGTGGACCAAATTTGATTGCAGATTTTTGTTATAGTACTTTGTTTCAAACATTAAAATGGAGGAGATGTACGTAAGATCCAATCGATCATCAGAACAGGGTACAATCTTATGTCCCAAATCCCCATATTCATTCATACTCTCAATGATCGATATTTAACGAAAGAATCCATATGTGGCTTTAATTTTAATACGTACCTCGAGTCGAATACAAGGAATATCTGGGCTTGCGCAGCCACCGACATGTACTAATGCTTACCCCTTTTTCCTCCTTTTGGAGTGCAGAATATACTTTGCTTTGCTTTTGATCCATTTCTTTTCCAGATAAACTCAACCAGACCAAAAGCGCCAACCAAATCATCTCCCATATTCACGTCCCTAAACGACCAAATTTGTTTAATTGCGAAACAGATTACACAAATATTGATCTTTAGACCCATACAATGTTATTTTGTTTTTCACATCACTCAACCCATCCACGTTCAAAGCAAAGAGAAGAACAACCCTTTGCAAGAAATATAGGATTTTCCTGCCTCACATTCTTTTCTGCATCCCGTGAAAAGGGATGTTTAATTGAAGACTGCATAGTTTGATCACCAGCTCATAATTCTACTGCTTTCGCCACCTTTAAGAAGTTAGTTATCACTCTTCTAAAGTTTCAGGAAGAATATCCTTAGGAAATCAACTTGATAAAAAAATTCAAATATACTAAATAATGAGACTTAATTTTATACGGTAGTGATAGTGCGTGCACTGTTATAGTCAAATGTATAGCATATGAAAAAAATTTGGATTTCAGATTATAATTTAGATAAGTTATCACGTATCGAACGATGATAATAGTGCATATATTAGTGCATACAACTGCTTTAAAAGAGAGACTAAAATAAATAAAAACCAACAGCTATAAAATTCTAAGGTTGACGTAGGATAAAAGACCCGGAAGGTTTAACATAAGAACAAGAAGAAGTCATGACCTCATAAGCAAAATGTCAGAATAAACCTAGGAACAAATATATAAGCATTTTCCGCCAAGGCCAAGACCCAAAAGAACAAAAAAAAGGGAAAATAAATGCATAAAGCAATAATTTTTCACTTGTTGATTGCAAAGCACATCGCCATAATCTGTCGAGACCTGCATCAAACTCTTGAACAATTTCTCCAAGCTTCCGAGGCTGCAGGCTCAGCAAAACCAAAGCTCTGGTGCTTCAGCAGTGAAAGGTCACGCTCATAAGTGGCCGGGAACTCCACGCTCCCGGTGAATGATAGCACACCTCTCATATTCACGTTAACATTAACGTCAATATTCGCATTTCCATTCCCGTTGACAGAACCGCCGCCGCCGCCACATGACTGGTGATCACCGGTCAAGCCAAGAAAATCCCTGGTGAGACGGTCACTTTTTTGCCACGCAGCAAGATTTGCGGAGGTGGTGAAGCCCGAGTACTCAGGCGGGATTCCATTGGTGACGTGACCAATGGTGCTCATGTCGAGCTGAGTCATAGCAGAGTTGACGTGACCAACAGAATGTGCACCCAGGGTGGCCGCCTTTTGAAGGAGAGCGGTGGCGGAGAGATGATGAACGCCGGCAGTGTCATTGAGCTGGGTTTGGACAGGTATTAATGACGGGATATTGATCCTCTTGTGGGTTGGTGGCGGTGGTTCTTGATATAAAAACTGCGAAGAAATGGGAAGGTGGAGGGTTTCAGGCTTGATATCGTGAAGAAGTTGTGGTTGGTTTGGGTATTGGGTAGGTTTAGGGTTTTGACAAGAATCGACCCAAGGGTGGTTAAGGGAAATGTGATGATCAGTTGGAGTAGGAGTAGGAGGGTTTGGGAAGTGGGGCTGCTGTTGATCATGTTGGGTTGGCGGGAATGGGAAGAGGGATGATGGGGTGGTGGTGGTCTGATGGAAATTTAGACGGAAGAGCTGTGGGTTGGCGGTGGCTGCTGCTGTTGAGGCGAGTACTGAGTTTGCTGAGAGTCTTGCACTTTCCTGAGCCAAAGCATCGCAGAATGCTCTGTGGGTGATGAAGCTATCCTTCCTGTGTCATGCATAGAATTGAATCATAAAACAACGAAAATACAATCCAACAATTTCAAAGACAAACGATAGCGCCAATGTAGTGCTCTTACTTTTACCTTGAGAAACAAATGCAGTCTACACACGAGCAACCCAAACCTATGTCTTGTTTGGGAGATAAAGAACACCAAGAATCAACACATGGTTGGCAAAGGATTAGCGCCCTCAACAAATTGCATTTTGTCAATTGTACGAGACGCAATTACAGAAATGGAGGGTCATGATCAGATTCTGCCACCTTCCACCTTCCTTTTTTAACAAATTTAATACTAGTTAAGACTTATTTTCCAACTACTTGACTGATAATCTTGCTTGTGCGATGCATACAAGAAAGTAATTGGACCCTTGAATTAAGGGAAAATACTTGTTGTCTAATTTGAACCATGAAATGCTCGATCAACGTCCCCATCCAACTTCTGATGCATGCACATTTAACTATTCGATGAGACCACGGGAAGTCAAAAAGAAACTTTTAGTAGGAGTAAATTAAATGTATATTTCGTGGCTCAAAAACAAAGTGCAGTAATACCATATTTATGCTGGGGAAGGATAAGGACGTTCCTCTGTGTGTGTGTGTGTCCGAGAGAGCTGCATTCTCCATCATAGTCATGCAGGAGTTCATTGGCTTTTAAGTTTTAACCATGCAGAAATTGGCATATTTTTGAACTTAGAGCTCATGCACGATATGAGGTCAGCCTTATGCCCTGAGGCAGATATTTCTACATGGACGTATCTTTGGTATTATTGGCAATTGAAATCCCAGGACTTATAGTACGAGATATTTTTCCTTTGGGGAATATATGTGTTGTGAACTGTGATGATGACGGTCTGAACTTTCAGAACTCAGTAGGAGAATCATGACATGCATCCCCTCTATGCAATATTACCCTGGGATTCTCGACCATGAAAGCTTCTCTAACCTTGATTTGTACAATGATCGGTACTACAACTACACAAAATTCATCATTGTCTTTAAGACTGTTTTCACTTGTCACTGCTCCATTTTTTCAAGTGGTTGAACACCATAATCCCTGCATGGGAAACTTTTGTCTCAATCGAGTTCAGACATAAAAAAAAAGGCCTACCTTAACTAGGATAAGGATTTGAGACATCACTATCGCACCACAAATCGTAAATTAATTTTGCTAAAGGATTGGGTTTGGTTCTAGGTAAAATGCTAGTGCTAGTTTCCTGGACTAACAAATAGAGAGGTGATCTAATGATTCAGGCATTTTTGGTACGAGGACTGGATGAGACACTTTCCGCTAATCGGGTCTGAGACATCCCAGAACTCTTATTCTGTTATTATTATTATTATTCCCTCTCTAGGGGTGTGTGGCTCTCGTTTTTATAGTCCGTTCTTACATCCGGTGGTCTCGTGAGTAGGTGGAGTTCAAAGTTAATGCGTTCTATTTCTTTGAAGTTTGACCTGTCATTTGCGGACAGATAGTCGCATTAATGGCTTCCCCATCTAAATTCCCGGCAGAGCTTACTGCCCTGGGCAGAATAAGAAAGCCATGTCAAATCCATCTTTCTCAGGTACAAAATTTCCCACTTAAGCAACGGACATATATCCCCTATCTGGCCGCATTGATTAACGGGAAAAACTTTTACCAGATCAGAGGTTTGAGTGCGTGGGACTCCGTGACCAAAAGAGACGTACAAATTCCAAGCAAAAGAGTTGCATAATCAAAACCAAAAGGCAAAAAAAAAACCAAAAACATTTACCTGGAAAAAAGGGTACCACAATCACATCTATATTCTCTAGTTCCGCAGGTTTTTGTGTGAGCTTTCCAATCTGATTGAACTGCATATATCTTTGAGCACTTCTCACACTTCCATTTCTTCTCCCCATGTTTCCTGCAGTAGTGTTTCTTGATCCCCGTAAGATCACCAAGAGCCCTTGAGGGGTGGTGATGAACGCACGTGGGCTCTGGGCAAACATACGCTCTTTTCTTGATTTCTTTGTTGTTTCTTTGTTTCAGTTTCCAGGGAAGGTTGTGGCCCCTCCTATGAAGCTGAAGGTTCTGATCTCTCTGAAATCCCTTGTTGCAGATCTCACAAACAAAACGATTTGTAGCCAGAAGTGTCTTTGGTGATAATGCAATCACCTCAGCATCAGGGTCTGCGGCGCCAATTAGATTGTAATTAAAAGCACGTCACATGAGATGTATGGATTAAAAAATAAAAAATAAAATACCATATATATATACAAGGAATGAGATACATCGTCTCTATGATATATGTCATCTTTTTTGTGACGATAGAACTTTAGCTATTTCGTGAAAATAAAAATTGATTACCCGGATTTCCAGGGAGATTTCTCTTCTTCTTGATCTTCTGAGGCTGCTGATGAGATGAACTGGTCTGAACCATAGGATTTAAGCTGCCAAAATCTTGAACCTTAGAGACAGAAGAGACACTAGCTTCCTCAGACAGAGAAGCTGAGTTAGACATTACTGTGTAGTGAAACATTGCAAAAGAACACAAGAAAGAAAGGTGGCTTAGTCTGATGATGTATTATTTGTTTGAATCCTTGAACCATTTACTGTCCATGTAACAAACTCTTTTAAGACCCTCGGAGATAAAACAAAGAGATGGAAGGAAAACAGCTTGGATATGTAGAAGAAGCCAATTTAATTAAAAGACAAAGCTAAGCAATATTGATGTGTTTGAGGAAAAAACAACAGATGGCAACTACTGTGACATCTCGCCACAGAAAGGCATCAGTTCAGATTCTCAGTGGGTTTTGGCTTTGAAAGCAAAATCTCGTGAAGAAATGATGATGATAGGTGATTCTTAGAGTCACCATCTAACCGTGGTTGGTTTACTTGTCTGATCAACTCTGCAACAAAATTCAGATTTCTCTTTCTTTCTATCTCTATTGGGCTACCCTATCAATTCAAGGGCGCCATGCGAAAGTGTATAACATGGAAAGAACAGACAAGAAGATGGTTTTTATTTTTTTTCACCCCTTTTTTGCTGGAAACCCTTCGTTCCCACTATCCAATGACTCTCTCCTTCAGTAGCCATCAGTGTTTCCATCCATCTATATATGCGAATAAAGAGAACATGTGGGGAGAATATCAGTAGGTAGAAATTTTGTACAGACTACACGACGTGATGATTACAGTCGCAAAGTAGTAAGTTTGGCCAAATAGAGAATACGGAAAGACTAATACACTGCAAGTAAAGAAAACCCAGTAATACGGTATTAGAAAAAGGTAAGTAAATTCAAGGAAAGCTAAAAATTCTGCAAAAGGGATGTGTCCATGTGTATGTGTGAACTGTGAAAGAGAGAGGGATGAGGCCAATTTGTGAGCAAAGACACAAAGAATGCCAAAGTACCCAGCCCATGACCAAATTATTCTATATTTCCATCATTCATCTCGTTTTCTCTTTTACTAGTTGCTTTTCAAATTCTTCTTTGTGCATGAGTGACGTTGGCACTCTGTCCTTTCCTTTGATCCTGTTATAAAACACCCAATGCTAAAAGGGCCTTGATTTGAATGGAATGATAGTTACAAAAAAAAAAAGTACTCCTAGTGGACTAGTAGCAGCGGTTGCTAATAAAGCAGAGGTTTAAAAGCTTGCTTACCAGGGAGGGGAGGAGGCTGGTGCTAACGCCTGGAGGCAAATTTTGCTAGAGAATGTCAGTCATGGTGGAGCCTCTCGCAACTTCTTGTAATACAACCCCACGTCTATAACAGAGACAGAATACTTGTCTGCTCGAGCTCTATAAGATTATAGGGCTACTAATCACGAAACGAGATTGCGATCATAATACTACAAATGCCATCTGTAAAAATTTTTTTTTTTTTTCCATTTTCAAATGTTGCCCCCGCCCTCCCCCACAATCCTACCTAAACACTTTTAGGGGTGTTGTGGGGGGGGGGGGGGAGGTTTGGGTTGTTAAAAACCAATATATCTGGCCATATAATCCCACATTATTCCAGGTAGTGGATATTAATATTGTGCATGCTTTAGAAGAATAGTGGGCAATTCTTCATGAGATTCTAAGACCTAAGTTCATGTAATCATGGAAGCTTTTTCTTGTTTTCAATTATTTCCATGTGGATTTTTCCCTCTCTGCCTCTCTTTCTTTTGTAATAATTCTCTCGTCCTAGTTCACAGTGGAAGCTACCGAGTGCAGAACCCCAAAATCCCACCATGGGGAATGTAGAAGCTCTCTTCTTTTCTCTAACCTGAACTGTTTTTCTTTTTTTTTTTTTTAATTCCAAACCTAAATCAAAAGCCATACAGTACAGATATACAAAAATTGTTCGAGTCTTTTGACAATCTCATCTTCTTCCAGCTGCTGCAACTGTGATAAGTTATAGAATTAGCTTCCGAGATAAAAAGGACTCAATTCCCAAGTCCAAGTACAGCTTGCAATTAAAGGAGAGTAGCATAATTAACCATGCATGCAAAAGCTAGAAGTACTCTAGGACACCCTTGAAAAAAAAAAAGTAGTATATACATTTTATCTTTTGATCCTTTTTTTCTAAAAAAAAAAAAAAAAAAGGTGAGAGAAATAGGATTTAAGAAGCAAGGGGAGAGGAGGGGAATTTGATGCCATGCATATTTCAAGTAAAAATGGATTTTTTAAAACTCTTTAGATGTCATGTGCTTCTTAGATTTCAATGGTCCGGATCAGATAGCTTTCTTTGTAGAGTATTTGGATTCAAACGCCTTTACCTCAGGGACAAGGTGATGACAAATATATATATATGCTTCCTCGCGACTTTGAACGTATGGTGCTCTTGGAAGTCTTTTCAGCAACATTACATAATCATGTCGCTGCAGAAATGATCAGTAATTGACTTAAAGTTGATCCAGAATTAAATAAATAAATAAATAAATAAATGAAGCATGAGCCAGAATTATGGGGGAAAAAAAAAATCAAGAAGTCTATCCACTTAAAATTTGGTATATTTGGATGGTACAGTATAATTCTTGTGATGTCAAGCTATGGCCATCATTTCTTTTTTATTGCTAGCTGGAAATTTCGTTCCCATTGAGCTTGGACTATATTGATGCAGAGCATGTAGGCATATTGATCATGAGTGAAAATGAATAGCCCATTGCGGGCCACGGTTCACGGGTTCTTCTTCTATTACCAGCTTGTCTTGTGGAGTACAATCCGATGACTCTCTCCTCTTGCATGTTTAGTCTCTTCCTTGTTCGTATAATTAGGCTGTTGGTTTATATTCAAGTTCCTGCTGCATTTTTTTTTAATTCTCATTTCTGCTTTTGTTTTTATCTGCACTTTGCTACTGAAAAACTTCACAAGCAAATATTCTGTGCCTACAAGATCAAAAAACACCAAAGCTTTCACGCCATCTGTGGCCCTTAAGTTATTTATATGCTATTGCAGGATTGAAGAGTCTCTAGTCGCTACTTTCTGAATTAGGATGGTCAAAACGTCGGAATCTTTCCTTTTTCATCTCTGTTTCTCTTACCTTGCCTGAAGATAGTTTATGGTGTGGAAAAATGTAATTTTGGGTGTGCAGAGCGTTATATTTATCTTGGAGGAAGGGATGGATTTGGTGGTAGGATGGAAAAGTATCTCGCTTACACGAAAAAGAAAAAAAAAATAAATTCTGTTCCCTTGTCTCTTTCCTGTTGTCTGCTTTTAGCAATTCTGTTTTCATTGTGTTAAACAAAAGTTCCAATCTTAGACTGGGCCTCCAATCCAGAAATCTGATGATGGTACATGTTTTTTACTTGGTTCGATTCCAGTAGAAAGTGAAAATCTTAGACCATCACACCAATTGACCGTGTTGGGTTCCCTTCCTCAGGCCCGCGTTTGAATTTGTAAGGCTTGAGTTTGATTGGTAGATGCAATCAAGTTAGATCAGGGGAAGAAGAAGATCGGCTATTCCCCATGCAATATGGTACCGGAGGAATTTTTATTTGCGCTCATAGTAAATTATGTCCAGAAGAAGATGATGCAGTCACAGTTTTTACAGACGAACGATTACTATGCAGCCATCTCTTATGGACTCTTCGTAGCTTTAAAGCTAGTCTGTGTTCAGAATAATTAATATTTGTTACTCATGTCCAACAAACTCTTGAGGCCCGAAGGCCCAGAAACTTCTTACTATTGAGCCACCATCTTTCAAAAAGTATTATGATATTATCCTCCGATCTTACCCAAATTCAACCCAAATCTAATTTATTAGAGCAGGATTTGAATTTAATTATCAAATACTTTTGATAAGAATAAAATAATCTAACGTTTTATGGCCATTGAATCGAATACAATAAGATTTCATAACTGTTAGATTAAATGATACGTTCTTAACCTAAAAAACAATTATGTTACCTAATTTCGCCTATCTATTGTGTGTCTCCATTATCTTTCTCTCCCTCTCTATTTCGCTTCATTATAAATCTTACAAACTAATTTTCTTTGCCCTACCATCTCTCGACTTGTCTTTGCTACTTTTGGCTATTACAATTGCATCAAAATCTGTATTTAGTGTTGGCGGTAAGGTGATTGATAAAACTAGTGCAAATTGCTTCCATATATGGTTGAAGTATTAATAACTACTAATGATTGGATTGAATCAATAAAAAAAATGAACATGTGTTTATAAATCTTCTCACTCTATTGTTTATTTGTTATCGATTCTCATCGAATAACTTTTATCTCATTCACTATTTAGGGTTGGATTGCAAGACATCTGGAGGCTTAAATAAAAGATAAAAAAAAGAGGTACAAAATTATATAATTTTGAAATAAGACTGAATATTTGTATATGTTATATTGTTTCACACAAGTTTTGCATATACACTACCAGAAAAAACGCCACAAGCAACGGAAACTGCATGTTAACAAACACTAGGAAGTAATGGAAATTTGCTGCTAATCACGAAATCCTCCTCAAAATGAATATATAACTTCTTTTTGATCTCTTGTCTTTAAATTTATGCACACACACACACATTCCCCCACCCTACAACACAAAAAAGAGAAAAAAAAAAAGGTCTTTTCACTTTCGTGGACTATAAACCTAACATGCGATACCGGGCAAATGTAGCCATCGTGGTTGTTTTAGCCGACCATATCTACGTCCTTCCACAGTTCATACCAAGGCCAAAGAGGTCGGCTAAAAGTATAAAATCTAACCGACACAAAAGATGCGACCATGTACAGCAACTCCAGTACTCAGCTGAGATTTTCGCAAGTCATCGGGCAACTAACATCCAGAATTTCAGCATCTTCATTGCCATCTAAAATGCTAACAGCCAAAACCAGAATCACAAAAAGCAGTTAATCAGAGGTGATTTTTTCAACACAGTTGTGGGCAACGCAAGACCATGGACGTTAAAAAGGATATAGAACAGAAAAAGGGGCATTCTACAATAACCTTTGGATGATACATCAACAAATTGGACTGCTGCTAATTCTTGCCAAGCTCTGCCTGCACCTAAACGAAGATGAAGAGAGTAATAAGAGGAAGAAATGTCCCATCCACGAGAGGAAGGGGTTATAACTGGCGGAGTGAACAAGT